ACGGCCTGCGCTGGAGCCGCCACGCGGTGCCATTCCCTGCACGAGAGTGACGTCACGGTGAAAAAGTGGCGAGTGTTGACCTGCAAAGGCACCTATGGTGCGATCTCTAGAAATTCACAACTCTAGTGAGTTGTGAATTCGCATATAGGTTTTTTGGGAGATCTTTGGAGTCGCAAATAGGAAGAGTACAATACACACGTAAATACTCCCCAAATTGTGCTGCTGCTCACTTGACCAATGTTTCTGTTGTAAATAGCACATAAGGGAATAATAAAATGTTGTGATAAATAATAATTTTCTGCAAAGCAGATTAAAGAAAAGCATCAGCTTTACTGTAATTTCAATTCCGTCTTGGTCAATGACATTTGAATGTACTAATATTTATATGGAACTAGGCAAATATACTGAAAACAGAAAATTATAGTTCACAGAAAGCTTTGAAAAGGAAAACTAAGTTGCACCTTCAGTGAGGTTGCAAGTGGGTACCCGTTCACCTCCTCTGGATCAGTAGTCTTGCTTCTCTTTGAACCATAGCAGCAAGTGAGGTAATTATAATTATATTAATAGGTTACAGTAAGTATGATACTAAGAAGTGTTCTCCATTTTAATGTCGCCATTATTCATCCTTAAAAAAGAAAATCATAAATTAGGACATTCAGAAGCTGACTTTTGGGGAGATAAAGGTGTTCTCCATAATGTGTGGCACCTAAAGGTAAATGAGAATTAGTTGGTGTCATAGTTTAATACCTCTCAAAACCCACATTTGCAATTTAATCTCTTATTAATATCCTCATACATAGAGCAATGATTGAATAGCACAAGGTGTGGTGCTAGCAGGACATTTGCATCCTAATTGAATTCAGGTGTCAGGACAATGTAGGGGAGACTGCACAACTGTTACTTGTTTCTAGAGTTATTTTTTGTGTGTGTACTTGCTCTGAAGGTCAAAGTTGGTACAAATAAATTGTTTTTCTGGATACTTGGGAGGCATAAAGCCCTAATGAAATCAAATTATTTACAACAAACTGAAGAGAAATGCTTAGGTTTATGATTTGAAAATTAGTCTTTTGCAACTCAAATTTTGCACATCAGAAATCTCAGGTAGAGGACTAGGAGTTTAGACATTGCAGTAAGGAAGACAAACAAAATATAATACTCATTATTAATATTGCATATCCCTCAAACTGCACAGCTTTTATATATCCTCTTTTCTTTAATTCAGGTTACTTTAGCTAACTGGTAATTTCAAAATGCCATGACAGGCAGAGCATGGAATTTCACAAAAAATGCCTTTTTTTTTTTATATATATATATAATCTAATTCATACTTCTTCTTGCTCTGTAGGATTCTCTTGTGGGTTCTCTGTTGACAGCTAATATTATTTACAAAGTAGTTGTTTATTTCACTAGGTGCGGGAATTTTCCTTACAGTAATTTTCCTATCGTGGAGTTCAAATTTGTGAGAATTGTTATTCACACTAAAAGCAATTTACAGTGTTCTTCCTATGTGGTTTTCAATTCAGTTGGAAAAGAGATCATTTCTTCATCACTTCAGTGCCCAGAAACGTGCCAAAGCTGAATACAAGAGGGGCTTTCATACAGGACTGTAATGGGTGTCACTTGTTTTGTTTTGGGATTGGTTGGAAATATCCTGCTATACATTATTATGGAAATTCATGAAGTTCAACTTCCCTGGTGCTAAAGATCAGGGATTAGAAACCGGTGATATAAACTTACTTGCTTTGATGTTAAAAACTTGCTTGCCTTAGACAATTGACAGTACAAAGTCATTTGTTTTACTAATGCACATATCATAATTTGGCTTTTGGACATGCAAGAAATACAGATGGAGTAGTCATTTTCTTCTTAAAAAGAATCTAATTGAGGCTTTATAAGATCAATGTGTATGTGGATTCCGCCCCTCCCTCCCCCAAAAAAAGGACAGAAGAAACAAAGCCTTCAAACCCGATTTCTTCCACTGAATTATTTCATTTAGAAGAATCATTGCTGTCTAATTTTTCAGTCTTTTGATTTGCTTTAATTTATATACTTAGCCCGTGTTTCAGCTATAGGTGATAATCACTGAAATTAAAGGTGAGGTGGCTTTGCTGCTGTGGGAATAGATAAAAATGGAGAAATTTTGAGTGGTAAAATATTTTGAATTACTTTTATATTTTTTTCTGTCTGTGTAAGGATGAGGTTAAGCACATGGATAGAATGACAATCATGGACTTAGAGTTGAACTGGCTCAGGACACTGGCATTATGACAAAAAAAAAGTTCTTAAAATATTTTTTTTTCTGAGTGATAGTTCTTTGATTAATTACTGATGAATAATAGAGCAATTGTATCAATTTAATAAATTCTAAATGGTTAAATTACTATTATAGACCATGCTTCACATATACCACGTACCCTTGTTTTTAACTTTAACTTTTTTGACTATTTGCCAAATCTCAGAGTCTGCTCACAATCTCCCTAAGATTTCCAAACAGGGTATCGAATACACATCATGGTACTACTTGCCTATACTTCTGTCTTTACAAATTGTTTGCTATTTGAATAGTTGTCTCACATCACAAAGTACTCATTAACTTGTAAAGAGAGTTCTGTAACTATAGAGAATTTACTAAGTGTTAAAATTGTTGTCTGGGAACTAAGATTTCATTTGAAGTAGGAAGGGCTTGAATTCAAATTTTCCATCTTTGATAACTAAACTCCTGTGGAAGAAGTGTGCTTTAATCCTGGTGTTTCATTGGTAAGATAGAGATTGACTGTTCTTTGGGTAATGTTTGGGCTGGTCTTTTATATACCTTATGAAAGATCTAATTTATTTGATTCAAAATAAATTTTCTTCTTTAGTAACTATTTTTGGAATTTTTGTTCTTTAGTGGAGGCCATGGCTGAAGTTGTGAACATCTCCAAAAGTGTGAAATAAAAACCTTTCAAAGAGAGTGTAGCACAAAGGATGCGTTCAGTTTTAGCAACAAAATGACGTTATTTGAATATATCAAATAGATATGCTACACAAATGTTCTGATGATGATATAAAGAATAGAACCTGCAATACAAAAATATACTATTTGTACTCGCCTAGAAGTAGAAAAATGGCAAGTATGGGATTATTATCCAGGCTCTGGACAGATTTTTTGTTTTGTTTTACTGCATCCCACTTGTAAGTACATTGCTACTTCAAGTGCACAGACACCATGGATGGGCATCTGTGCCTCGGAGGGAAAGCATACGGGAGCTGGATAAATATTCCCAGTAGTAAGATTGGTGTTGGCAAGGGGGCTCAGGGCTGCTGTTCAGCTACTCATCACTTGAAGGAAAATATTGATGCTTTCTTCGCATGGAAAAGCCTGGGCAGTGCTAGTTGAGGTGTCCCAGGGCTGGAACTCTCCAGCAGGTGATGCAGTCTGCTGGGGAGGAGAACAGTTTCTCCTGCACAAAAAGGCAGAGGGCTTCTGTGCTGGGGCACGTTGCCAGGGCTTGATTGCTGCTTATGGCTACGCTGCATTGGCACGCAGCAATTAATAGTTGTATTGGTATTAATGCAATTAATATTGCTCATGACTCTTCAGCAGCTTTAAGTGAGTAAAAGAACCTGGTTAATGCCCCACAGCTGCTTGTTTATAAAGTACAAGATAATCAAGATAGTTCTATTAAAGTTTAATTTATTGGATTTATGTAGTTAAATGTTTTAATAAGATATCCAGATGACACATTAAGCTTCAAAAATATTTATAAATATGTACTTTGATTTAGAAAGTATATTCATACAATTTGGAACATGTTACTTCTTCCTTTAGTGGAAATATAGTTCCTCCTTTAAATCTTTCGTTAGATTTTTTGATTTTAATTGTTGTATTTGATAGAATTCCTGAAAATAATGGATACTAACCAAAATCAGACCACAGTTGTAAACCTGTTGCCAGAAATTGTTTGTTACATACCACTATTAATACCAAAAGTACTGCTTTTGATATTAATTTCCAGTACAATTTTCTCACAGAAGCAAATTACCTATCATAAAGAAAAAGTCAAATGTGGGAATCTGAAAAGGGATCCTTAATTTTACAGGCTTTCCCTATCCATTGTGGAAGAAGGATCTGTATGTTATAATGCCATTTTAACTTAAAATATAAGACAGTGGAATTTTTTTGATCAATATGAAACACAAAGAAACTAAGAACCCTCTGTTTGGTATTTGGAGGGGTGATTCAGAGTTTTAATGTATAACCTTTTAAAAACTACCCCCTGTAATTTTGAGGGGAAAAAAAAGACTCCTGATTTAGTATAATATTTATGTAAATATTTAGTGTAATATTTATATGCTTTTTTCCCCTTTTCTTTTTAAAGCTTTCAGAGAAATATGGAGTCCATGTTTGCGGAGAAGGTGGAGAATATGAAACATTCACTCTGGACTGCCCTCTGTTTAAGAAGAAAATAGTTGTGTAAGAAACAGTTTCTACCGTTTCCTTATATTTAAGCAATGGGGACATGCTAACATTTAGCTTGAGGCAACTTTTGTTGGCAGAAGTAAAACATGTTCTCCAAGTTCACAAACACTCACTTTGTTTAACACTGGCAAAGTCCTCTGAAAACTTAAATCAATACCTGACAAGACGAGGCCTTCATAGGAGGCCATAAACTTTTTAGACATTTGCACTTTCGTTTACTTGCTGATTATGGCCTGCAGTAAAACTGGTACCTACACACTGACACTTTTATCCTTTCATGAAGTGCGAATTGCCTGTAATATTTATCTTTCATTACAGCTACATTTGATAAACTGCCACATCAGTAGCCTGTGGGTTCCATTAACTCTGTGTGAGTGTGTGTGTGTTTTAAGTTTAGCAGCCCAGAATGATAGTGATAAACATTTTTTTTTCAATTATTAGAGGATATTTTAAATGCAAACTTTACATGAATCAATCTAATTTACACTGAGTAGCTTATTGCTTTGACATAAATTGCTAAAATCTGTGTAGCAGGATATGGAAAATGTTTGTGTCTTGATGCAAGTTGCTCAGTACGGTCTGTTAAATAGCTTAGCCTGCATGCTTTGACTGAGATGTTTTGACTGCAGATCCTATTCTTAGCCAAGTAAACAGACTGTAATAATCATGTATTGGTAATGTTTAATCATCTTAGGGAAGGTCAAGATTGTGGAGTATGTGGACACAATTAAGGCTTTGATGTTGAAGGTTCATTTGTTTCCTATAACACTGTCCATGCAAGGAGCAGAGGACTTGCAATTGCTGAACTTTGTTTTTTTGCATGACTTTTGGGAAAGAGAGCGAGCAATAGAAAAACTAGAAAAGGGCAGAAGTGTACTTCCACCTGCTTTGCAAAATTGGGAGGTTGTGATACTGCAAACAACATTTATAGAATGATGCAGGATAATTTAAAATTCTTATTAAATTAGATCCAGCTACTATTAACTAGACATTCACAACAAAGACATGGCTATAAATCAATGGATGTTTAGTAATAAACAGTACAGTTCTAAGCAAGCACTTGTGTAATGAGCACTGAATAGCTACACCAACATCGTGTTTCTTTGGCTTGAATAGCCCTACTTAGTTCTTCTGCTCCATTGTTATGAAGACATAGCTTTTGTTATGAATTTTTACAATTAAAATCATTGTAGGCTCATTTCATTAAAAAAATACAAGTTTGTTTATTTTGCTATTAGTCATTCATTTTTGCGATATATACTGAGTTCATAAAGACTATATAACCATATTTTTAGCGGTACTAGTACTGTTTCTAAATACTCAGTCAGTGGTGATTGTGGTATGTTATGATATGGCTTTTTTGAAGCAGAAATGTAAGAGTTAATATTAACACCCAAATTCTTGTACACAAAGTTCTATCCATATTTTCCCTAGAAGAAATTTATCCGGAAGACAGAGGATGACTTTTTACTACAAAAAAAGGGAAAATTTAATAAATATTAAAATATTTTTAAAAAAATAAATTTAAAAAGGAAAAATACCTCTGTACTTGACCACATTGAGTGATAAAACCACATTTCAACATCTCAGAAGAATGTCAGGGCCTTCCTGGGACTGCAGATTGGTGGCAGAATTAGAAAAAGCCCTGTGCATCTTAAAGCTTTTAGAGAGTGCCATGTGCTAACTAACATATGCTCACTTTTGGGTTATCCTGTGACAGCATGGGGAATAAAGAAGTATAGCTGTGGAGCTGTATGAAACGAGGATGTAGGTGACAGGAGAAAATCCTGTTTTGTTAGAGAAAATCTAACTTGCCTATCATTTGCATATAGACTTTTGAGTGATATTTTGTGTATGCTTTTATCACTTGAAACTTGTAGTAAAATGCGTTTCCATAATGTTTCCTTTGGAAAGAGAGAGAGAAAAAAAAAAAAAAAAAAAAGAAAAAAAAAAAAGAAAGCTTCTAGACCTGGAAAACCAAAAGCTATCCTTGATATTGCTTATTATGAAGAAATGGAAGTGTGCCTTTTTTTTGCTTAAGATGATTGAGTGAAATACAGAGTGAAATATTTGAAAATAAACAAGATTTACGAGTGAAGGAGGATCTTGCAATCAAAATACTTACGCGAGAGTCAAGAGATGGGTTTTATATGGCTTTCCCTAGTAATCGGTGGTAATCAGGTGTCAGCTTTCTTATGCTCAGTAATTGAGAGGTGCCAAGCACTTTCAGACTTTCTCAAATGGGTTTTTAAAGCTGTCATTGATTAATGTCTCTGCAGATCATAAAGACATAGTTCTGTTCTACATGACTGCCATTTAACAGACCTACTTTTCTGATTAAAATTTTATTTATAGACAGAATAATTTGCAGGTTTTTTTCCTACTGCAGTCTTAGGATTTAATTCTTTTGATATCTATTTCCTATTACTGTTAACAGATTTCTTCTGGTTAGATTTAAAAGATACTATGATCATTTGAAGGGAATTATTTTGAAACTTACAGATCTGTCTTTGAGGAATCTTAAATGAATAGTTAATATTTTAATCTTAAAGAATCTATTTTTGAAGCTTATTAGAAGGAAGTGAATACCTTTATTTGTTGAAGGTATTTGTCATTATTGTGTAACGTGATTATGATGATAATCTTAGGAGGCTTTCTGTTTGTTTGTTAATTCCAAACCACATATTCTAAACTAGATATTTGTCTTAATTTTGTTTTAACTTCTTTTAATTATGCTCTTTCATTAAGTCAGTGGAAGTTAAGACTTCAACCATTTCTAGTTTGCTGTTTTTTTATGTAGCATTACTAGAAATCTTTTTTGGAATTCCCAAGCCTGTCAGATTTCCTTAAATACTGTGAAGGCATTAAGGGCATTGTGGTTTGAAAAATTATCAGTATGTTCTTAGCCTTACTTAGAATAATTCTCAGTTTTTCTTTTTTTTTTTTTTTTTCTGTATTGTGACTGAATTTGACTTTTGTTTTCTTTTGGGGCTTTTATTTTCTCACCTTCTGATGTTTGTTTCCTAGAGCTACCTTTTTCTTAAGCAGTAAAACCATGCAGATGGATATAACAGATACTGCCTCTCGTCAATCAAAGTGTGACAGACTGTGTTTGTAAAAATGAAAACTAAAATTAACTAATTTGAATCAGCACAGTGGAAATTTATCAGTTACCAACACATTTGGCATTAAGGAGTTGTGTCTAGTAGTTTCAGTATCAGATGCAAGATGGTCAAATCAGCTTCTCAGCATGAAATACTATATAGTGTTAATACTCTAAGAACTAATTTCTGGAGCATTAATGAGGAAGAATGAACTTTTAAAAAATCTTCTGTTGATGACATTAAAGACTGTTTTACTTATTTTTTAGAACCTAAAGCATAATACCATTTATGCTTGCATAGGCTACAGGTAGCTAAATTGCTCAGTAGTCTCTGGAAGTGCAGTTTATCCTTTTTGAAGGTTTAAAATTAGTGAAGATAAAATTGTGCTGTTAATCCACTATATGGCAAACTCTTTTTTTCCTCCTAATTGATATAAAAAGGAAATAATATCTGATAGCTTTTCAATGTGTTACATTGTTGTACTGTGACTAATAATTGTATATAAAATTATACATTAAAACATCGTGCTAATAACATTGTATTTCAGGGATTCATCAGAAGTGGTTTTACATTCAGCTGATGCGTTTGCACCTGTGGCTTACCTTCATTTTTTAAAATTACACTTGGAGAATAAGGCAAGTAGATTCCAAATTTCCTATTCTTTTATAGCAAAGCTACGTGCCCACTTTCTTTTTATTGCTTTTTCAGTTTGGAATTCAGCTGGATATTCTCATCCGTCCTTAGAAATAGCCATGTATATATTTAGTTGAATTTCAGAAGCTGCCGTACGAAAAGCTCAGCACAAATGTGTCCTTGTGTCAGATGAATGAAAGGAGGCAGTATATTTGCGTGGCGTTTTCCATCTTGCAGCCTCCAGGTGCGTTAGCTCCGTGGGACGTGCCGGGAAGCTCCGCACAGGGCTGCGACCCGGAGGCGGCCCCTTCCCTTCTGCTTCCCGTGACAAGTGGTTCGTTTCAAAACCTGCTGATCCACCTGCTGATGCTGCAGTTGGAGACATCCTGGCTTTGTGGCATAACATTTTTCTATGCAAGATACTTCTACATAATGACTTTTTTCTTTTCTTTTTTCTTTTTTTTTTTTTTTTAAATCTGTCTGCACCATGACATTCATATTATTTTGACATATATAGGCTCTTGGAAGATCATGAGGACAGTCAATAAATATTCTGTAGTGAGGTAGAGCTTTCCCCAACTATCTTGCTCTGCATGGCTACCAAAATAATGATAAAATACAGACAAAATCATAAAGCCAAAGATTTGGAGATTTCCTCGGTGGCTTGCTTTTTATCAGATATGATCTTTAAATGCCACTTATTTCTGGAGAAAATGCCTCATGACCCTCTAGCTACTGCTGTAATCATATTTGTATAGGCCTTCTTGTATCTACACTTTGAAGATCACTACATGCAGGGTTGTTACCATAATAATAATGGTTGCGTCTTCCGTTTCTTATTCCCTTGAGTCACTTCATTTTCTGTAGTTTTTTGATAGATAATTCATTTTGTTTTCTTTTCTTTTTAATTCTATGTTTAAAAATAGATAAAATGATTTTAAATTTTTCTTCCATTATTCATTGCTTTGGATAATATAACCCATCCTATTTCATCTTACCAAGTTCTAGTTTAGGGTGTTTTTTTTTTTTTAATGTGAAACATTAAATAGTTGCGTGGGAAACTGAAAGTGATGTCAGCCAACTATGTGAAGTGAAACCAAATAGGCCACATGAAAGAAAATCGGAGGGGAAGGAGGTGATAATATATTAATATTTCTTTGAGGGCAGTGACTTTATTGCTCATGGCAAACTTGATGCTAAAACGTACCATGCATCACTACAATGTGACAGGCTAACGAAAATGAAAAACACAGAACTTTACATAAATCAGGCGAAAAAGTTGTATTAAAATGCATAACATTTTTATATAAGAATCAAGATTTTACTTTTATCTATTCAGGAGCTCTTTTCCCCTTCTTATGTAGATGTTTTAGATTTGGTTAAAGCCTCACGGTTTCAAGCAGTGTTATAGAAAATCATATTTCAAATTCATTGTAGACAAAGCTGTCATACCCTCGGAGAGGGTAAGCTTTACAGCGAGATGGCCTGGATTTTAGTATATAAACTAATGTCTTGTATAGTAGAAAAGGAAAATAGTTTGTGTTCTACAGTAGCTGTCTCTGGAGGAAAGGCATTAGAATCTTTTGGCTGTAGATTAATTTATTTTATGTCAGGGCAAAATAAGCTAGGTCTTCAAGAAGTTATGCTCGGAAAGATTGGCTGGTTCTCTGTATTCATAACGTGTTTCTTACTAAGTTAGCACAGTTTAACTGCATAATGGTAGAGATGCTATCAAAATGCATATGCCTGTACTTCACTATCTGGTGCTTGCAAACCTTATGGAAAAAAAAATCATTAATTAGTAATTCACCACTCAAAGCCATAATCACTGCAATAATCACTGGAGGTATAACAAAATTCTATTTTAAAAGAAATAATTTTAGTTTCAGCCATTCAAAAGAAATTAATAAAAATAGCTTATTTGTAGAAACCATTAATACACTATTTTTTAGTTATTTTTAACTTCCGTATTTATTTTGTTATGTGTGTGTTTGTTTATGTGCCACAGGTGTTAATTTTACATTCTTTGAATTTACTTATGCAATTATATCTAGCATGCCATAGTCTCTACTGTCTTTTCTTCTTTTTTTGTTTTTCTTTTTTCTTCAGTTAAACCTCTTCATGTTTAACTACAAAGCTTGGACAGAAATTTGTTTTAGATTGTTTCTGGCAGCACAATGAGGCCTTATGCCTAGGGGAACACAACATTTTACTCACTGTTATGGTTTAATATATTACTGTGCAACTTCAAGACATAGTTTTGCATAATAATTGAAGGATTTTTTTTCTCACCCTCTTTTATTGCCAGTAATAGAGAAAAAGCTAAAAAGATGATTTTGTATAATATATTAATATTAAAACATTATTAAAAGTTTCATAAAAACAGCTCAGGATAACTTTTTTCCACAGATGCTTTACAAACTGCTTATTCATGGAGGCCTCATTTACTTCAGTGTAAAAAATACTGTTGCTGTGTACATAATACAGCTATCTAGCTTCATCAGTCTTGTAACTTGGCTATAAGAGCCAGTCTTTGCATGTTTAAAAGAGTGTGACAAAGTGTAGCTTTGAGTTCCACTCTGCCCATGGCGCCCGAGAGAGACAATTTCTGAAACACTTTCCAGTATTTTTCAAATGTATCATACTCAAATGTATCAGCTTTGGTATTCAAGTTTAGTTTTGAATGCTTTCAATTAATAAAATCTGCAATTAATTAAAAGTGAAACACTTTTTTTCTTCTTTTGTGCTTTGAGAGCACAATGAGTTTGCAAAACACTTCAGTTTTCCCGCAGATTTTACTAGTATGTTCTGTTAAGCTATGTTAACTTACAAATGATCAGAAAGAGAAAGTAAAGCTGTTGGAGCTTTGTTCTGCTGATATGATAACTCCTTTTGTGATCATTTTTTGATGACATCATTCTGATGAAGTCTGATGACATTCATCATTTCTGATGAATTGTATTAACTAACATTCGTGTGCTAAGATTTGCCCTTTCTCAGATTTGTGGTTTCTGAATGCTTTCCTCCTCTATCCGGGTGAGTTAAGAACACACCTGCATCAAGCAGTGCAGGCTCTGAACTGCAGACCCTCCAGCAAGCCCAGACTTAGAGGGACTTAGGTAGTTTCCTACCTGTACGTGGCAAGAGGATGCGGAAGAGTAGCCTGACTGCCTGTTAAGAAACAAAAGCATGTCTATTCTATTGCTGTTTTCTTCTTACCGTGTACTTTTGCATTATATTTGCCCACCACCTTTGAGGTTGTGAGGCTTATGTCTTTTTTCTGTTTATAAAATACATTGAAATCCTCAGGCAGAGCATACATATACGTGCATGCTCTTCTGTCCCTGGAAAAGGTCAGCACATCTATCTCACAAGTTAATTTGATGATTTTACAGTTGGCAGTAGATGTTAGAAAGGGGGTCTGGCAAATATTTGCATGCCTTGTGTACCAAAGGAGCACAATCCTGCATGTTAGATTTGATTTGACTTTATAGCCATTTCTCTTTTTTTCCACGAATTACTTTTGCTAATCTTCATTTTATCTCATTTTTCACTTCTAGCATTGTTAATTAATGTAAATGCTGAAAAAGGAGCTTCATATTTTTTTCCTATGTATTTTATAAGTGTATTTTGAGCTTTAGGACTTTAGCTATAGTATTTAGCTATATAAGTCATTTTCAAGTGGAATGGGAAGAAATCTTATTTTGCAAAATGCTCTGCTTTTTTTTTTTTTTTTTTTTAAGCAGTCCACTTGGGAAATATCTTGCAAGTGGCATTTTTTTCCCTGTTTTGTCACAACTGCATGATAATTCTTCCAGCTAACCCTTAGTTTCCTTCTAAATCATAAGAGTACAGGTGATCCTTGTTGTAGATAGGTTTTCAAAGCGTTGTATATTATTGTAATAGTGTAAAGTTATTTTCATTGTAAACTGATTCTTTTTTAAATACTAATACGATAGATAAGGGATTTAATCTTTTCTTCATTTTGTTGCATATTTACTACTGTTCTTGGAGGATAGAGATTATTTTTCATCTCTTCTCAGATAAAGAAAGTATTTTAACTAAATGACTTTTCTATGAGACTGTATCCAATACTTGATACTGCAGGGAGTTGCATGTGGTCTCCTTCGTTATATTTGTTTTAAGGAGTTATATTTTGAAGGTAGACCATAAGGAATAAAGAGATTATCATAGTCTTTCATTATAGAAAACTTTTATAAGATCTCTTCTCTAGAATAGTCTCATTGCTGTTCAGTGGGAGAACTATCAGTTTGGGTATTTTGTTGGGACTAGCTTTTATAACTGTTTCTGTGGCGCATTTAAGCCCTTTAAGAAGGGAATACATGGAATTCCGGTTCTGTCAGCCAACATCGTAGCTTCAGGCTTTTCCAACAAGACAATTTGGTTCTTGGAACACACATGCATTTGTTTGACTGTACTCTGGGCGCACTCACCTCAGTGAAACAAGGTGAATGCAGTTAAACACACAAATGCATGCAGGCTCGAAGCTAGAATTAGGCTAATATCCCAATGCCCAGTAGTTGTGGGACCACAGTGTAACAAATGGGAAGATAGATTGCTGCTGCAAAGGATGATGGAAAAGTTATGTTCTCTGCAAAATTTAATTAAAATGTCATTATAGCAGCTTGGTCTTTTTTAAACAGGGTAGAAAGTTATTAAGGGAAAGTTAGTCTCCTTGGTGGTCTGTACCTTTTAAATGTAAAGTTCTTAGATATTTTCACCATGTACTGGAATGGGAGGTCAGTATTTGTACAAAGTTTGAGTATAGCTACTAAACAGAGTCCAGCAGCTGCAGTTATATTGGCACTGAGCCTGTTGCTCTCTCAGTGCCAGGTTCCACACCTAAAGCTTCTGCTGAGGCCTGCACCTGTGCTGCTGCTGAACGTGATTGATTATCCATGGATTTGGAGCATGGTGGGATTCAGCCTTGAATGGATCACTATAGTATATCGTAGCCATTGAAATGAACAGGAGGCTCTAATTATTTGCACAGTCTTCCATGTACATGAGAGATATCATAGAATTTCTACTTCTAGTAATTTCAGAAGATTTGCAGATGAGCAGCTATGTGTGTATATACAAGTATGTATATATTTTTCTGTGAAAATCTGTGAAACAATTTTAATATAAACTTGCATATATGTAGAATATTAACATAGTAAGGAAAAAGGGGGGATGCAACTGAATGACATGAAAATTCTATGTGGCGTAAAGTTTGGACATTTGAAATACAAATTAAAGCTACACAGAGTTCTGTCAGGCCAGGTCAGCAGTGAATTCGGTCTGTTGTACTATATCTTCTTCTTCTTCCCTTTTTTTTTTTTTTATGAAGCATATTTTGCAAATAAATGAATAAATAAGTTTAGAAATTTATTTAAAGGAACAGTTTACACATGGCAGAAAATTGGGATAGATACTGTTTTCACATTCGCTTGCATAGCATGATAAATTTAATGTTTTAGATTAGGTAAAGGAGAGAGGTTCCTAGTCCTTAATAGAGCACAAGACTTGCATTCACAGCTCTCTTGTCTTGAGGGTAATAATGTAAATATTTGTAAATGTAAATAATATAAATGTAACTTGTAAATAATGTAAAGCTGAGCAACAGTTGAAAGAAGCGAAGAGGCCATCGCATTGGCAAGTTCAAAATTCTGTCCTAGTTAACATAATTTTTGTCTAGTGATTGTTGTCTCATATTAAGGTTTAAATCCAGGTAGTTTAAAAAAGAAGCCAAAGGCAGCAGAGTGATACTGTCATTCAAAGCATATAGTGTCTATACATACTTACCTACAGAGTAAGTGATGCAGGCTCTGTAATGTTGGTGCGTGACAACAGTACATGGTGAACATCCACGTGAAGACACGTGTTCCAATGCTAACTCTCTGTTTCATGATGGATGTTATACAATTAGCCAGTGAAAACATTTGTAACTTAATAAAACAATGATTTGCCAGAAGGAAGTAGGAAGACTACTAGTGCTGGATTGCCCTGTACAGCCTCTATATTTCTATAGAGGAGCATCTTGTGAAACTTTCCTTAGGCTCTTCTTGATTCCTGAGGTATGATCCATCTGGATATCTATTTCAAATACAGATTTATATTCCTGCTCTCTATTTTTGTAGTCATATCTGTGGGGACAGGGGCTTTCAGACAGCGCTCTGGGTAACAGCGAAATGTATCAACTGACAACAGTTGTAGGTGTAATTCGATGAGTAGGAAAAGATGCTGCTGGATGCCAGTATGTTTGGAATGCACACGTGGCGTTTGTGCTAACTTGCAGTCTTCATCTTTGTACTATTATGTTGTGTTTAGTTGACTTGTTTTAACCTCTGATGTACAATTGATTCACATAAAGAAGATTATTGCCTTGACTTTCAAGCTTTCCTAGGAGGAATGAATAAAATGAGGTCCAATCAAAGCACATCAGGCCCTCTTAGAGCATAGCTTTAGCATTTACAGCTCTTGTAAAACTCCCCTTGAGCCCCTTTAGAGGCAGCAGAGCTGAGTTTCCCCTCATAGGTAATGACCTTTTTGTAATTTAGCCTTTCCTGAGAGTTCCCAAACACGCTGCTTTCACTTAACTGGATGCTTTCTCTCTCCAGTGAAGTCAGAAATTTATGTAAATGTTGAGTTCTCTGTACAGACTTTTGATGCATGCAGTATTTTCTTGAGGTTTGGCGGGGAGGCTTGTTTTCACTGAAGATCTAGGGAAAACTTTTAAAGTTACAGTGAGATTTTTTTTTTTCTCTGAAAAACAAATTCACAACATACAGGTGACTTTTCCTGAAAACGTATATATTCAAAATTATTTAGTAATTTCTAGCATATCCCTTTTTGCCTGATTGATGAAATCTACCTTTTAAAAAGCAGAAAATGCAGAGGGTCAAGCTTCAGGAGTTGTTACTTAATTTACAAACTTCCAAGTGATTCAGTGTCTAATATTAATACCCTATTTCATAGTTTTTTGCATTACATTCCATAGATATTCAACAGTGTCTAATTCATCCTTAAGAATTCCTGAAAGTTCTTAATATTTTGTCCCATTTTTAACTTTCTTGGGCTTTTTTTTGACTCTCCTTTTATCTATCTTTGTTTTTATCAGCATTTTGTGAATTTAGCATTTAAGATAACTGCAATAAAATACATATATGGCACACTAGATGAAATTTAAGAGATTTGAGAAGCAAATTAACTGACAGAATCTGGAGGTACAGTATGCAGTGATGTTTGGTTAAGGTTTGTGGGGAAATTCTGACATAATTCTTATTGCTTTTAGATGAAAACAAGTAGTATTAGCCAAGCTAATGATCCCAAAATCAACATGCTGTGCAGATTAGGCTGTCTTGGGAAATCAGATGGCAAAGAGTTGTGGTTCTCATTATTGCTTTAAAAAATAATAAGGGGAGGAGGAGGAAAAAAAAATCTAAGTGTTTACATGACTTGTTGAACACATAAGAAACACAGCATTTCAGAAGTCTGTACAGCAACAGTTCTGATGGTGCTTTTTGGGCTAGAAAGACTGCCAAGTGGCTTTCTCTTAGTGGGCTCAAGAAAGCATTTAGGAAGAAGGCACAAGGAATTATTTTCCTTCCTAGTACCTTGAACAACATTGTTGAAAAAGCTACCTTGAATTACTTCCTTGCTGTTCTCCATTTCTCAGAACTCTGAGCATCCCAGAATGCAGTGAGTTTGCTGCAAGTGGATAGGCTTTTTTATGAGATAAAGGCAAACAAAATTGTAAAGTGGCTTCATTCTCTCAAGATTCAGTTTTTGAACAGAAATATCAATGGGGTTTTTATTCATCATACATTTTTTCTGTCTCTTTTCTTGGTCTCTGATTCCTTCTCATATCTGTGGTTCTCATGTGCTGCTAAATCTGCACTTTGATTCCATGTGGTGTCAACACGAGCAAGTTGTATTCGACTAGCTTGCAGCCCAAATAGTTGGGAATCCTATTACTGTTCTTCAATGGCTTCTTCTATGATTAAGTATATATTGACCTGTAATTTTTCTTTCAGTATCAAAAATCAAGAACATTTAAATGATGTTTGATTTAATTAACTCTTCGGCATGGTGTTTGGGTGCTTACTGTATAATATTTATGTCAAACAGGAGGGAGCTTCAGACCCGCTGATGATCAGTAGCTGTTCCTGTGAGCTAAACTGCAATGATGTCAATATTTTACCTTTGTCAGAAGAGGATGAACCACAGAAAATCCTTCCCGTTGTCTGGAAGTCTAGCATAAAACATAATTCTCTGAATTTCAGTGAGTCTCGCACAACTCGGTCATTAGAAAAGTAATATTATTAATTTCTGAGGGAGTATGATGTAAGGTGTTGTAAGAATGTTCCCTAGAAGAATATTTGTGACCTTTAATAGCCGGTCTGAAGATAAAGATATCCTAATACAATTCAATTTTCTGTATTTATATGCCTGCAAGAATGGAACATTTCCAATGCTTTTTCATGAGGATAACCCATCTTTATTTTATTAGAGAGCACTCCAAATTTACTGTAATAGAATATTTTAAAGATCGTATTAATGCCTGTACCTTAACTCTACAGTTTTCAAATTAAAAATAGAAAAGCAAAATCGCAAATGAAAAACACACCTCCAACTTGCTTTTCTCATTTATAGGCCTGTCCCATTTGTAGAAACAGTCCCAGGACCGTATGCATGATCAAATTTATCTTCTTAACAAGTTACTGTCTTTTAGGTGAGCTGCAGTAACTAATTCTAAGCCTGCTGTTATCTTTGCCTCAAACATGAGCGACTGATGCAAGATAAACCTGGGTTCATCGGGTTGTATTTCATGAAACTACCACAACAGCACTGTGGTTTTAAACCCAAAGATCAATGAACTTTCCCTGAAAATCTAGTTTCATTATGTTATAGTGTTTAATATGGAGTAGTCTTTAGACACTTGAATTTAGACAAGTGCCTGGTGGAAAGCCTAAGTACATTAGATTAAGCCATCTAACTTGCTTGAAAATTTAACAGATACCTTTGACAATCTGTTCCAGTGTCATTTAGGTGTTTTGAAATTTTTGCTTTTCAATGCCACATCTGTATCAGCACAACTAGAGAAACTGAAAAAAGTCAGCAAAAAAGGAAGAGGAAAAAATACTGAAATCATCAACTAAAGACATTCTGAAGGCAGCATTGGAGAAGGATTTGTGAAGTGATGTTTGGTAGCTTTGACATCAGCACAATTTATATCTGCCTGTCTGTAAATGAATTTTGAAGATGTTTTTATAATTTGTTATTTATTTTTGTAGAAGTTCTTCTTATGCAGACAATGTAATTATTTCTTAGCTGGATAATTTCCATCATTCTAATCATACTGCTTTCCCTTCTTTTCCATAGCTAAGACATTTGGAAGTTCAGGAAAATCCCCTTGTGGTTACCAATGGTTTTCAGGTTTCACTGCCCATTTTCTTCCATCAGAAGGCAAAAGTGTTCAAGATGCAGCAAAGGAAACATTTTCTTCTCTCCAAGGTGTTTATTCAGTTTGTCTATTACCTGTTTTATTAATGATGGTTTTGCTACAGTATTTTAATAACAGTCTGTATTGTCGTATGTTCTTACAATTTTAAATGTGGTTTGTTGCTCGTCTTCAACTGGGATCAGCTTTAATATTAGACACATTTTAATCCGCCTCCTTTTTGAAGACCCTCAAAGCCAGAGTTGTGTTTGTATCTCTGTCGCAACACTATTTTCACGGTATTTTTATGCTTTTTAACTTTCTTTAAATAAATACTGTGTGTGAGTGTGCGTGTGTGCTATGGATACTGTCTACTTGCTAAAGCACTGTTGCAGTTACCATAATTTAAAATTAAGTTTTCTAGAAAGCTGTTGCCATTGCACATTTTGGCATCTAGAATTGGGTCAGCAGCAGTAAATCTCAGTTATATACTTAATGTAAAGGAGAAACTGCTATCTGGGGAATCACAGAATCCAAATTTGTTACTATCTCCCTCTTACAAGATACTGATATATAAAACAAAATGTTCCATTTTGTTTCACATCTTTCTTCATTTTATACTTTAAATAAAGCATGTTTATGCAAGCTTCTTTTTCATTCATAAAAATGGGAATAATTCTTGGTATCTGAATGGGTAGACTAGTATTCTTGTTCACGAATTCCCATGATGTATTGTCCCATAAAATCTTTGTTTGGCTTGTGCAGCTGAGTTCATGACTGAATATAAAATGATAAAGAAACCCTAGCAATTTTTAGGAAGCAAGGAAGTCATACTTTGTAGAATGCCCTTAAGCTAAACTTTAATAGCTTGAAAATCAGAAAGGTGGATGTAATCAAGCCTTTAGTGAAGGGCAGCAATATTTAGTGTAAATCTTCTGGGCATAATCTGTAAATTGGAGCAAAAGAGTTCTGTAACATTTTATTTGGTTCTCATTAAATTTGTATGGAAATCTGCTAGTACAAATGTTATGTATTTTGCGTTAACATCTGTCAGAAAAGAAGGGGAAGAAGACTAATTGTGTCTCTGACTAGTTCAGTAGCCTATTGCTTTCAGCAAATCACTTGCAGTAGCTTGTATTGTACTCTAATTCAGGAAAAAATGTCATTTTCTCATCCTTGGTAGTGTTTTCTTTTTACCTTTCTGGAGGAAAGTGTAGAAAACAGAATAAATTATGGTCCCATCAAGCAACACAATATGCTGCTTTTGCTTTGCTTTTCTTCTGAGAACTTGACTGATCTGCAGATATGTGTAAGGCTTTTCCTCAGCTCATATTTACAGTCTGTATAGGAGTTTGGTATTTTATGATATGAGAAAGAAATAGGCACATTCCTTTTAACCTTTCTTTGCAGGATTAGTTGGTTTAATGTCCTCTGGAGAGGTGAGTGCCAGAAAGGCTTCAAAAATGGGAATCTATTTCTGGACCGTATGAAGTTCCTCTGTAAAGTGGATAGATTTCTTCCATAAAAGCATGACCAGAAGAAAGGAAATTCAGTACATTGTTTACACCTATTTTCTTAAACTGTTTAAATAAACTTTTCTTTTGGTGATGGAAGATAACAAGGACTGCAGTGGTTAATGTAGAACAGCTCTAGTGCAGCTGTATGTTGGCAAAGCTCTATAGGCTTTAAGAGAATACATAGATTTTTGCAACACGAAAATTTAGTCTAGAAGGCTACCTGCTGTCGGCAGTATTGATGTTGTCTCTTGTAGCTTTAGGTGCTATTGCTCGAATCTTCTTTCTGTATGCATTTAGGTAATCCTGCCTTCCTGAGCTCTTTCCTCGAGTGTTCTTTCTCTGCTATCATTTTTCCCTTGTTTCTACCCTGACCACTTCTGTTTCCTATTGTCTTTCTTGCCATTTATAACTCTCTTTTCATATAGAGCTTATTGGAGTAAGATTAAAAAAAAAAATGGAATAGCATATAAATACTTGATCTTGTCTTTGAAGAGGATGATGGATTAAATGATCCCTTACTCTCTCCTCCCAGTTATGTACTTTTGTGATTCAAAGGGCTTTGTAGAACTAGCTGTCATAGGCTGAAAAGAAAAAAATACTACATAAAACATATAGATACAAGAAATTTGGACTGCCACATGCATATTTATATGCATATATGTATATGTGTGTATTTACACACAAAAATATACCCGTGTGTGTAAGTATACACATACACATATATACATATATGTGTGACAATAAAGATATGTGTGTGTGCACATTAATGCATGATATGTCAAAGCAAAATTTTATTTCTATTGAAGGTGGATTAAAATTAATTTATATTCCCTAAATAATTGGAAAACAGACTTGAAAAAAAATTTCATGAAAATATGAATATTATGAGAGGGTAGGTAGTATGTCATATGTAGGCAAGTGTTGGTTAATTATTATTTGTTTTTGTTGAACAAACACAAGATGACTGCTGTCCTTCTACACACATTTAGAATGTTTTGGTTTTTACAGCTATATATTTTTATCTTGCAGCTAATGTGACTTCAGAGGGATTTAAATTGAAAGATATTATTTTGGTACATCTATATATGAAGAGCATGAATGATTTCACTGCTATAAATTCAGCTTATGTGGCAGAATTTGATTTGTGTCCACCAGCAAGGTAGGATTAGACTATTGCTATAGTGTGTTTATGATGTATTGTAATATCCTGTGTTATTGGTACCATACTTACGAAGCTTTTGTAGAAATGTGTGTGTGTCTCAGACGCAGAAATATGCTTTTGCTGCCTTTTAGGGCATTTGCATCAGAGATGCTCGAAATGTCAAAAGAATTCAAAAATACCAGGGTTTGGGATTCTTACTATTTTCTGTAGTTTTATATATACCCCGTATGTGCTCTTATAGCAGTATAATTAGCAGTATAAAATTTTGCAAGTGTCAGTCCCATGGTTTGGGGTTTTAGTGTTTTGTTTGCTTGTTTTTCCTTGCTTGTGTATTACCAGCCTGCCAATTACTTTCTGTATAAAAACTTCTGCCAGGTTTGCAGACCTGTGTTTTCCACTAAAACATCTTCTCGTCCGTTTCTTGGACATATATCTGAAACTAAACCTTTTCTAATTCTCAGCCTGCATTTTCTGTTTTGAATACATTCCAACTTGCCTGCTTATGGCTGGCTGCACTACTGTACTCATTTCTTCCCCTCCAAAGATCTGTAGCCCGTTGTTAATCTTCACTGAACTGTGACTTCAGGCACACTGGCTGCTTACACCAGGCAGTGAAACATGGCACAGAGGAGTTGGAGCCAGTACCAGCTGCACCAGAATTGGTAGCACTGTTGCATTCAGTCCCATTACTGCGAAGAAGAGAAGGAATTATCAAGAAGATTAATTAAAACGTTAGTGTATCAAGTTCTCTAAAATATTTTGTTTTGTCAGTTTAGTATTACACAAATTTTCTTAAAATGAATCAGGCTCTTTACCCTCTTGTTCAGCCAAAAAGGTTTTATTCTTTCTTTAGGCTAATAGCATACCTTTCACTTACAATTACTAGTAAAATTTTTAGTAAGTTATCTGTGTAGAACTCACTGGTTTCCTTAAATAAATTTCCATGTTTTTTTTCTAATATCCATCCCCATAACTTGTAAAATCTGTGCTTCTATATTTTCTATACTTTATACAAAATGCAACCATTTGAGAATGTCACAAAATTAAATTCCTGCAGAATAAAAAATGCTAAAAAATTGTATGGCTTTTATGATACAAATTGCTATCTAAAATAGAAATGCTCATTAATATTTTAGATAAGACACCTTTTTACAGCATGGGAAAATGCTTTTTAATGTTGTGTGGTATTTAGGTGGTAAGAAAAGTGGTAAGAAATACTTTTTTTGTTGTTGTTCAAAATTATATGGCAAATGCTATATTATTTCTGTGGTTAAAATTGCCATGGCGAGTTATTCTTTCCCTCCCAGCATATATTTACTGCAAATCAAGTTAATACTAATAAAATGGGAGTTTTATGTTAAGTTTAGCAATTTTGTAACATAAAATGATATGTATTATATTTTTATTACAGAATATGAAGTATAGTTGTGGACTTTTAAGTACAATGTGTTTATAATTAAAAAATATTGTTAAGATAACACGTACCATGATACAGTTACATTCTCCTAACAGTCCCTGGTAACCTGAGTGTCAGAGGAGGCTAAAGAAGAGAGCCAGAAGAGGCTTCTTTGGGATGCTAATTGCAGGGCAGGATTACTAACCTGCAGAGGGGTGGACGGTTAGGTTTGTGTCCCTTAACAGCACACATCTATTCCCAGCTGCGAAATGCACAAACGTGAATCACCAATCTTTTGTATCTTAAGTCTTCTGAAGCCCTCCTTCAATTTAGCTTCCTCTACTTCTCATGCTGCTGCATGTCTTTCGCCTCCACATTTACATAGCTGGCCACATAGTCTTTCATTGCTTCTTGGAAAGGCCATAAAATGGCAGCTAGAAAGATTAGGAGGTTGCAGGAAAATGGCTTTTTATGATTATTTATGTGGAACAAACAGATTTATGTTGCATTTTGGCCAAAAGAAAAATTATGCGGCAGTTTGCATGGCTGCATAATTGCATTATGCACAGAGACCTGGCTGTGGGAGTTCTTGCTAGTAATACGCTAGAAGCACAGACTCAGGGGTGTGGATCTGCACTAAATTTGCAAAATTGTCTTGAAAATTTACCAGCCCAAGCAGAAAATGTACTCACCCATCCTTATGATGATGGTAATGAGGAAAAAATACTTCCTTTGCATGGGGCAAGAGGAGAGAAAGGTAGTTTTCTTGGAAGAAACAAGAAGAGTTTTGTAAGATTGTATTATATGCTGTGTAAATAGAACAAATAATTTTCTGTTAGTTTCCTGCTGGGAGCTAAATGACTTTTTTATGCATGGACTGCAAATGCAATTATTTTTCAGGCTTAGAAATGCCCATTTTTTTCCTCTGCTTTTTCATGGGGCAGCTGCATCAGGCTGCCTGTGTGTCCATCTAGGCACACACGGTCTTCCTTGGAGCAAAGAAAAGTGAACTTTTTTGACAAATACTTAAGTAAGATTTTAGTTCTGTCATAAATGGGTATATGTCATACAACATAACGTATAGTAAAAAAAAAATACATTCATTTTGCATTATAACGTGTGAGGAAGCTATGAAGAAGCAGTAAACTGCTGCTGCTGTTCAGAAAACTGGGTTACTATTGGAAGGAGATTCAGTGACAAACAGGTGGGGATAAGAAGGCAATACTGGTATGGACACATAGTCTGAAGGCTGCTTAGCACTTCTAAATAGCTGCACGGTCAGGATTTCTTTTATATATATGTGTGTGTGTATATATATATATATTGGCCATTGACTATGATATTAATTGACATTGCCAAGTGGGAACTTAACTTGCTAGAAGTGTCAAATTCATTTGGAGATAACCATGTGAGTACTGGTTACTGTGATACTGTAGCTTTGTTGTATGTTCCTCACAAAATAGTGTAACATAGTATCCAAAAAACATGGAGAATAAATGCTGGAAGTTGGTGCAAGCAAACTTTGACAAAGATAGTTGTCTTGTGTTTTCAGAGTATGTGTAGAGACGCTGTTACCCGATGGAGTGCTGTTCTGCGTTGACTGCCTTGCCCAGAGGTGTGACACCGCAGCTGATGACATGTTGCCAGATGAGAAACTGTTCATGCACGTCCAGAGCATTTCTCACTGGGCCCCTGCTAATATAGGGCCTTACAGTCAGTCCGTCAAGGTAGGAAATCTTTGTTATTTCTTATGAACTATAAGAGAGCACATTGAAATAGGTACAAGTTGCAAAATCTTTTTCCCTCCCATCTCAAAGTGGAGGGAAAAAAAAGCCTATATACTCTTTAACAATTATGAAAACAGTAGGCTATCACAGGGAGATGGACTGAGTGTTTAAATGTAAACATTTTTCCTGATCAGATTAACACAGCATTGAAATATCCTCTTGCTTAGCTAGTAGCACTCCGAATTTTAATTAAATCTTAAACTTTCCATTGCCCAAATTTGTATATCTTTTCCTTACCAACTCGTCTTTTGTATAACAAAAGCCTAGTCCAAATTACTGTGTAGCACAAACTGTGATTCAAGCAACATGCGTGTGTCTGTTCTAATTCTCCTTTCAATCTGCAAGCCCACCTAGTATAATGCCCATGGAATTGTTTTGTTTGTTTGTTTGTTTGTTTTAATGATAGCCTACATGAACAGGAAAGGCATTTTGCTTCAGAAGTTCATAGAGAACATATTTAACTGGCAGGAGGAAGTGTTGGTAGATAGACCTATCTACATCTCAAGGAAGCAGAAATTTAGACTCTTTTCATTTAATGTTTTTATTGTTATGTGGTGTAAGGTTCATTCTGCCCAACTTGATCTAGTAAAATCACAAGAACATTTTTTTCAATAAATGTACTATATATTTTTAATAACTTATTTTACTCTCTAAAACAGTATAAAGAAGGCATGAGACCTATAAAACGTTTTACAGAAAAATGCATAAATGTATAAGCAACATATTTGCATTTGAAAATAATATATTTAATAATATAAGATATGGGGCTTATATGATCTCAACAATTTTCCTGAATTTAAAAACTCCTTTAGGAATGTTTTCAGAAACTTACTCAGACTAAATATCAGGTAGGTATTAAGCACTCAAGGTTGCCGGCAAAGTACTTCAGTATGTTTTGGGAATTAAACCTGTTTCCAGTATAAATAAATACTGTGATAAGTATAAATATTTTTAACTTTATAGTTGGCATAAGTCATTTAAAATTATTTTTTGATGAAATGTTGTTTTGCATGTTTCAGCAGCAATAGTTTAATGATCTCAAAACAGTGAATGGTGAATACCCTTATGTTATATATTTGACTTTGCTTTTCCTTTGTTTGGCAATTATTTCACAATTAAATTCTCATTTTTTCAGTCTGTTGCAAAGTTTTCTTTCACACTCAAGAGTTGTGATGTATTTTGGTACAGAATTTTCCTCCACTTTGGAATAGACCAAGGACTGTAATACTCAGGATATTGCAAGTTGGGATTGATGTGCACCGGTGTTTACGTACAGAGCTGGCAGTTGAAAAGTGGAGGTAGTTCATGCAAATTATGGTATTCGCGCGTCAGGCTCAACAAATCACTCAGCAGAGCATCAGTTAATTCTATAGGAACCTTGCAGGATGCTGCCAACCGTACCGTGAGGACAAAAATTAAAGATTTGAAATATACCATGAGAATGTCCTTCTGACCTCAGTCTGACAGACACCAAACATCACTGGCATGATAAAATTAGGTTCTAAATTTCATTCAGAGTATTTATAGCAAAATCAGACATTCTTACTCTTCTGAGCATAACATTCTTTAATAATAATTGCACTGTTTCTGCCTGTAAGAAGTAGGTGTAAACAGTTTTAAGATACAATCTAACTGATTTTCTCATATGTAAGAAGAAAAAAGTGTGATAATTTTTTGGGTTCACTTGGTGCAGAAACCCCTGTCAATCTTGATGTCAGCAAATGGATTATATAATACTTCAGAGTTATAGTTACAGCTATGCTGCTGACCACAGTTATGACTCACAAATGCCCAGGACTATGTGGTATCAGGGCATTTTTTTCAATTATATTGACTGATGTTATAAAATATATTATGTCTTTCTGTAAACCTCATCTCACAGGCTAAGAAGAGATTAAACATGCCGCCTTGCTCTTATCGATCTTACAGTTGTTATTTGCCACTTTTCAGACCAAGCAGAACTTGGCAGGAGTTAATTTTTGCTGTCTTGCAAATAATTTTGTTTTACCTAATATTTCAATTTTTTTTAAAGTTTCATTGACAAAAAGAAAATAGGAGATCTCTTTCACCCTGACAGGACCTGATCTTTACCTCTAGAAACACTTGGTAGCCAGGTGAAATGAAAGCACTACATTTTTGTCTATTCTCCTCGTGCCTTCCATTTATATATGGAAAGTTTAGGATCCTACTGCAAAAGAACAGTAAGGTCCTTGTGATCTCATGCTTCGAGACATATTTTATAAGTAAGGGTTTAAAGGTGCATCTTTCTTGCAGACGTAGCACAGATTCTGTGCCATTCTGTCTGGGAATATGTGATGCTACATGGTTTGCCCTCTTGCAGCTCTTTGCAGCACAGTAAGCACCAGCCCAGTTTGTGCAGGTCATTGCTGAATGTATCGCAGTACTTCTACCAAGTATATTTCATGTTTTTATTTCTCACTGTTGTTTGTAATATTATTTCATCTTTTAATTCTGTTTTACCTGTGGATTGGAGGATTTATCAAGACTTAACTGTAACCAACAGGTTGTATAGAGCCTGCTTTCTTATCTTCGTAAACACAAACTGTACCGTCATGTATCAAGGCCTGGGGCCTGTAGATGCACTGCAAAGCGGTGCTGCTGGTGAGAAATTTATACGGAGACTTTATTCATGATTATCCATTCTGTGAGAATATTCCTTGAGCATTTATGAACTGTGAGCATAGTTCATAAAATAAATAAAAAATCCCAATGCAACTGAAACACGATCCATAAATACTTATCTAAGGATAAGTAAGTAAGATGGAAACTTGACAGTGTTTGCACCAGATGTTCTTCTAATATGTTAATGCAGTTTAAAAGTTTATCTGTACTTCAATTTGTCTTGGCAAAGTTTCTTAATGTTTGTCTATCTAGAAATGAACAAATAAACTGCAGCTGTAGGATTTATTGTACTCTCATGCCACTATTTTTGACACTGACATAGCGTATTTTTTACAGATAGTAGCATATTTACATCTATGACTTGAATACGTCTACTGAAGTTTTTAGCTTATTTGTTCATGTGTGAAATGATGAAGTACTCGGGCTGGTCCATCACAATGTGATTTTTTTTTTTTTTTTCCTGCTCGTGAACTCAAGTGTTTCTCTCTGCTGCCAAATCTCAATTTCTGCCATTCTTGAGGCCTCTTTTCACAATTTCCTCATGATGCACACAGTCTCAACCCAGTAGCGTAAACATTAAGAACAAAAGAGAGAGAGAGAGAGTCTTCTTACTATCTTAATTTCAATACCAGATCTCTATAATTTGATCAAATTTGAGTTCTTTTCTCATGTTTATTTAGATTCTCATAGATTTTTCTTTCCTTTTATTTTTTTCTGGACACCAACATGTTAAATATTGTGGGAGCAATAGTGGAAATAACGATTCAGGTATCTAACTTAAGGGAGTTGTTCTAGCGCTTCCCAACTAAGAAGACTGAGTTTCTCCTCCCACAGTGAGATTGAAAATAGTCTAACACATTTTTGTGCACATTTGGTAACAAATGGTTTTGAAAGGAGAAGTTGTTGCTGGAAATTACCTTGTCCATTACATAACTCAATAAGTGTTTGTCCAGTTGAAGTTCAAAAGCATGTTTAGCTGGATGTAGTAAGGTAAACAAATGCATATTTTAAGGAGGAAGCTCACTTCAAGGGACATGTCAGTTGTCCTAGTTAGATGATCAACCAAAAAAGGATGAAGAAGGAAAGATGTCAGCAGAATTGGTGAATCAGGACTGAAAAAATCTTGGTGAGATTCCGAAAGATATAGTTGATACGTTCAAAAACTTCAATGCATTGCTTTTTTTTTTTTTCTTTTTTTTTTTCCCCACGTACATATAGCTAATAAGTTGCTTGTTTACTTTGTTTACTTTTGTGATTTAACCTCAGTATATTTGACTGTGTGTGGTAATAGAAGAGGAGGATTTCCATGTGCTTCTACCTTTCTTTTTTATCTGTTATTTGAGAGCCTGTGGCTCTTCTGAAATACTTGTGTAAAGGTGAAATGTGAAAACAGCCTTGATTACTTTCTCTTTTAGTTTGAATGTGATAACTGTGCTAGACATGACTATATGTTTTCACCGTTTGGATGTATGAAGAACTTGGTGAGATAAAAATATAAAGAGTTTAACTTTCATGGGAACCTGAGACTTGCAGGTTCTAGAGGACAATTTTATTTTGAAAATGATCTATGTTAATATTTCCATATGAATTAGGGGTAGATTCAAATACAACTCAGAACTGGCTACAACCTCACTACTTCTTGGCCTATAGGAAGAAAATAAGTCCCACTAACCTACATAAGAAATTTATTGGGCTGCTCTGTGCCAAAGCAGATTTAAGACAGATCTCACTAAACAATGGATATTTTTGGGGGGAAAAAAAAATACCCTCTAATATGAGCCTCTGGAGTCTTTGGTACCTCTGGAGGTTTTTCTTCCACGGATTCTCTTAGTTCATCAGTCTGCCATGTGGAGACAAGAGAAGCAAATTGTGAATATCATTTACTGTGCTTATTTTTAATTATTTGATTTGGGCATTCTTGAGAGAGAGTTCTAAACTCTGTTTGTGTAAAGGGTGCCAATTTACATCATCTGATTGGCACATCTCCTTTGATGTCAGCAGAACTGTGGCAGATAGCACTAGCAAAATTGTTTACAATGTTTAAGAATTTTTTTAATAAAAAAATGGTTTAACAGTCTTTAAGCAGCCTTTATATAGTTGAAAATGACTTGTTTCACCTGGTTAAATCATTATTCCTTCTGTTTTAAATCAGAGCAGATACATTTTTCTTTAGCCAGTGAAATTTACATTCCGAATGCACTCCAGGGAAGTTGGATGAATATTAAGAAGATAGCTTCCACAAATGTAGAATTTAAAGTAGATCGCCTATGCCTCATATGTATCTCGCGCATGCTGTG